CTGGATAATAAATACTATTAAGTAAATGACAGTTGAAAGGCTGGCTTTGAAGCAGACATACTAATGCTTTTACATGCACAAAGCTGAGTTCCATAATAGCGTCCCCTCACGAAGGTAAATGGTTCATATCCCTAGCAAAATTGATGCTCATTACATCAACAACTCATATGGCTCTTAGAATCATAGAATCATAGAATATCAGGGTTGGAAGGGACCTCAGGAGGTCATCTAGTCCAACCCCCTGCTCAAAGCAGGACCAATCCCCAATTAAATCATCCCAGCCAGGGCTTTGTCAAGCCTGACCTTAAAAACTTTTAAGGAAGGAGATTCTACCACCTCCCTAGGTAACGCATTCCAGTGTTACACTACCCTCCTAGTGAAAAAGTTTTTCCTAATATCCAACCTAAACCTCCCCCACTACAACTTGAGACCATTACTCCTTGTCCTGTCCTCTTCTACCACTGAGAATAGTCTAGAACCATCCTCTCTGGAACCACCTCTCAGGTAGTTGAAAGCAGCTATCAAATCCCCCCTCATTCTTCTCTTCTGCAGACTAAACAATCCCAGTTCCCTCAGCCTCTCCTCATAACTCATGTGTTCCAGACCCCTAATCATTTTTGTTGCCCTTCGCTGGACTCTCTCCAATTTATCCACATCCTTCTTGTAGTGTGGGGCCCAAAACTGGACACAGTACTCCAGATGAGGCCTCACCAATGTCGAATAGAGGGGGACGATCACGTCCCTCGATCTGCTCGCTATACCCCTACTTATACATCCCAAAATGCCATTGGCCTTCTTGGCAACAAGGGCACACTGCTGACTCATATCCAGCTTCTCGTCCACTGTCACCCCTAGGTCCTTTTCCGCAGAACTGCTGCCAAGCCATTCGGTCCCTAGTCTGTAGCTGTGCATTGGGTTCTTCCGTCCTAAGTGCAGGACCCTGCACTTATCCTTATTGAACCTCATCAGATTTCTTTTGGCCCAATCCTCCAATTTGTCTAGGTCCCTCTGTATCCTATCCCTGCCCTCCAGCGTATCTACCACTCCTCCCAGTTTAGTATCATCCGCAAATTTGCTGAGAGTGCAATCCACACCATCCTCCAGATCATTTATGAAGATATTGAACAAAACCGGCCCCAGGACCAACCCCTGGGGCACTCCACTTGACACCGGCTGCCAACTAGACATGGAGCCATTGATCACTACCCGTTGAGCCTGACAATCTAGCCAACTTGCTACCCACCTTATAGTGCATTCATCCAGCCCATACTTCTTTAACTTGCTGACAAGAATACTGTGGGAGACCGTGTCAAAAGCTTTGCTAAAGTCAAGAAACAATACATCCACTGCTTTCCCTTCATCCACAGAACCAGTAATCTCATCATAGAAGGCGATTGAATTAGTCAGGCATGACCTTCCCTTGGTGAATCCATGCTGACTGTTCCTGATCACTTTCCTCTGCTGTAGGAGTAGGTTAACTCTGGACAGAGAGAAGATTCATGCAGTTTCGTCTCTTAGCTAAATGAAACTGTAGTTGTCAGGGAAGTTTTTGGTGTGTCTTCAAGGTCACAGGATAACAGGTTCTCTCATTCTCTCTCTACACAATACACATCGGAAGGTACTTTGTATGTTGTTGAGCTGCTTGTTACGGAGGGAACAAGTTCTCTGTGTGTTTGTGGTGTGTTAAATAGTCACTTCCTTCATGGCTAATTCCCCTGTAAAATGCAGTGAAAGGCCTGCAGTAGAATGGTTGTAGCCTCTGGTATGTTGAAACCCCGCTGTAATTTTGTGTGTTTTGTTTCTGTTAAGGGCAGGTTGAGACAACAGAGGGGTTAAAATGCCAGTGGCTGCTTATGCCTTTTCTGCACTGGAGCGCTCACATTCTCTGTCACTAGGGGAGCAGAACTTGTGGTAGCAACAGTGGGAAATTTGGTACAAAAATCCTAGGGACAAATTCTGTCACCCACCCAGGCTTCTGTAGGCTACTGTGATGGCATATGGGGCTGTAAAGGCACAACAGGAGTCCGGGGGAGAATCTGACCAGTGCAGGGCACTCTGTAAGTGGCCCTACACTACTCCCCACCATAAAGTCATGTTTAAGGAGCATGCCACACACATGGCAGAGGGCAACTGGGAAAAGACTAGGGGCAAGAATGTAAACATTATGCAGTGAATAGTGTTAGAGGAATTCTGGGCTGGGCCTCAGTCCATAGGCAGCCTGGGCTGGGCTAAGTCAGAGTGGCCAGGAGCTGCTGCAGCTTATGCTGTTGGCTGCATCAGTCTTCGGAGCAGCGCAGAATATGAGCATAAATCTCTCTTTGTCCCCTCTCTTCCTGGGCTGAGACTTCAGTTCTGCAGCTCCTGGAAGTGTAGACAAGGCAGGAAAGATGTCCTGGTCCCTGCCTTGGAAGGCTTCCAATCTAATGTTAATGCAGAGGCATGCAGCCCAGTACAATAGTACAGCAGCGGAAAATCTTCCAAATAGGCCTGGGCAAAACTGGTGACAATTCTTCCCTGCCTTTCCCCAAGTGTGTTTGACACACGTATGACCTATTATACAGCACACAGCTCTGGAGGCGACAGAGTCCAATGCAGAGTTCCCTAGCCAAATGGCACCAGCAGTTAGCTCACCAAGGCTTTGATCCTGCCAAGGGCTCTGTATAGGCAGACCCCCTCTGCACCTGCTTGGAGCCCCATTCAAAATAACAAGGCTCTGTGCTGGATGCAGGGTCTGCCCACATGGAGTTATTTGCATGGTCAGGGCCAAAGACCACTTCCCAGGCCCTTCTCAGTCCTTCAGAGACATTACTCAATGCAATAACAATGCACGATTTTAAATGTAAATAATGTCAATGACTGTGCACTATTGGGATTAACAGAAAAAAAGGGTGCCCTGCTCTCAGGGCAGCAGAGTTCTGCTTTGTTTGGAATCTCTCTCTCTCTCTTTCTCTCCCCCTCGTATATTATCTCTTGGGACCTCTCCTATTTGTCTCTTGGAACCTCTTTACTAGGCCTCCAACTCTGCTTCAAATGCTCTAATGCTGGAGCTGAGCGAATAATTGATTGTTTTGGTTCAGTTACAAATCTCTGAGGGAAAAAAGTAATTTCGGGTCACCCCAAAACACCAGTTTTTCAGTTTCTCACCAAAACACAAAGATGCAAATTTAATTTCAAGTTGAATGAAATGGTCTGTTTTATTTTTGGGTGTTTTTCTGCCTTTTTGGTTTTTAGAGATTTATTGTTAGTTGTTATTATTTTTTTATTTTATTTTATTATTTTAAGTTAAATCTAGCTACATTTCTAAACAAAACATCAGTTCTAAATGAAAACTCAGACATTTCACTATTTGCCATGTTTGACCCTAATTCATGAACAGTTTCAGTCTATCTGAAATTGCCTTTTGTTTGGGAGGAGGATGGTAATAAACTATTCATCAAAGAAATTTTATCTAGTTCTATGAAGGCCATTTCTTCTCTTCTGAGGCTCCCTCAGTCTGTGCTCTGAGGCTTGCAGTGTGCTGTGTTTCACAAGCCCCCTATTTGCCATCCACCATCTCTCTTTATTAGTTCATTTGAAAGCTGAAAATCATCAAGGCCCTGATCCTACCAGCTGCTCCACACAGAGGGCTTCTATGCCTATGCAGAGCATCGAGAGAAGTCAGCTGGGCTCAGGGCTCCATCTACATGGCATACCTTGCAGGATCAGCACATAGCCAGCACATTTCTCTCAGCTGTCACTGAAGGTGTGGGTTTCTATGGCCCCCATTATGGTAGTATCTGAGCAACACACACTCTGTAATGTATTGATTCTCACAACACCCCTGTGAGGTAGGGCAGTGCTATTATCCGCATTGTACAGATGGGGAAGTGAGGCTCAAAGAGACTAAATGACTTGCCCATGGTGAAGGTTTGTGGAGAAGCAGGGACTCCCCAGAGTCCCCTGCCAGCATCGTAATTTCTGAATCATCCATCCTTTCTAGGACTTTGAACATTTGGGATTGCATGCTGGCAAACAACTGAACCAATTTCACTGAAAACCCACCCAAACAAAAACCAGGGTTGCATGGGGAATTGAAGAGAGAGCAGGAGCTCTCAGACTCAGGGCTAGTGTTTTGCCTCACACTTACAGTAGGTGATGGATTCTGTGTTTCCTCTGTTTGTAGGGAGATGAATTGCAACTGCAGCCACTGGAGCTGAGGGAAACCGCTCCCTGCCCCATGACAGGGGTATAGCCTTTGGTACACCTGTCCTGTGACTGGGGCTAGGAGCTAAAACACTCCTGAATATCACACTATTGCTATGCAAGCACATGACTTACTTAAGTTGCTGATGATTAACTTCAGGCCCAGTGTTCCTTTTGCTGCTCCCAGTACCGGGGAGGAGAGGTAACAGCTGCTTTCTCCCACCCACCTTCCAGTACTGCTGGGGGGTGGGGGGGCGGGAAATGAGTAGGCATTGAGATAACAGCTTCAGTTACTTGAGCTGTTTGTTAAAATGTCAACTTGGTCATTTTCAAGAAATGCTGAGGATACGTAACTCCCAATGAAGTCACTGTGAGCTCCATGGGGCAGGGACCAGCTTGGTGTTCTGTCTGTTCAGCACCGAGCGATGACTGGGGCTGATAGACCCTACCGCAATACAAATAATACATTTAATAATAATAATTAATTAATAATCAAGTCAATATGAGTTGTGGGTGCTCAGCCCTTCTAAAAATCAAATTGTTTCTGTTGTACAATAGCGTATAGTTTAATTAAATACAGAAACCTGTTATTTGTGACATTTTTGTTTGCTAGTCATTTGAGACTTTTGCCTTTTCTTCCAAGACCAGCCCATGACTTATCATACAAATCCTATGCACATCCAACTAGTCCTCCTTATAAGAATAATAATATTAAGCTCAAACAAGCATCAAGGATAACTTCGTACTGATTTTTTAAAATATTCATAATTATCTGAGCCTTTATACAAAATATTTGATAAAAGGTCTGTAATTCATACCTTACCCTCCCAATAGGACTGTGGAATGGGGATGTGGTCTAGGCGTGCCCATCGGAGCCCGGCTCTGTTGTAAACTTCAGATGTCAAGTCAGGGAAATTTCTGTTAAGATCAAGGTTCTGAGCAGTTTGACGTCCATTAATCCATCCATTGTAACCAGCTCCCTAATAAAGAAAGAAGCCAATTAAATAGATCCAATCCTGCCTGTCTCATAATGTTTGGGGTTTTAAAAATGTTATTTGCTAATGACCAACTGGAAGTTTGAAATGCCAAAAAGGCACCGGAGATTTGTTAAAAGTGTCCAGAGAGTGGAAATAATATATTTATTTATAGAACACCCTTTATCCCAAAGGACCTCAAAAGCACGTGTGAGCACCACGGATGTGACTCAGAGGTCGAACACAACAACTGTTAAACAGGTTTAAATCAGGGCTCAGCAAACATAATAAATATTAATATTTAATTACATTTGATCTTCTAGCTGAGGAAGAAAATATATTAAACAAAAAGTTTGTATAAAATAAAAGGAGCAATTTCAAATGTCATAATTGGCTCTTGGGCATTTTGCCCAAATATTGATAGGGCAGGCTGCTGAATGTCCAAACAGACTTTCATCTGTATCAAACCTCCAGTATGCAAGCAGGAACAATGCAAAATCTGGTCCAAATTACCTGTTAGTTTTGTTAATCTGGGCACTATAGAGCAGCCACCCATCAAATCAGATGGGAATAAAATCTGTTAGTCAACTATTGTCAAAACCTAAATCCCGCAAACCCCAGATTTTCTTTTCTCTTTTGCAGGGTAATTTTACAACATATTCACTTCATTGCAAAAAGTCTTTTACCTCTTCTGCAGCAAGTTCATACCCATCTGGGTTCAGTGAAGGCAGAAGGTGAATTCTAGTGTTGTTTATCAAAGTCTGGATCCTGGGGTTCCCAAGGAGATATTCAGAGCACAAGTATTGTGCAAGGTATATTAACAATTCTTTTCCAACAACTTCATTTCCATGCATGTTTCCAATATACTTAAATTCTGGCTTCACTGTGAAAAGATGGAGTAATGAGATGATTTGTTGTAATTCTGAGAACATTTGGATGCCTTCCCAAAGCCTTCCAACGCAGATAGCTGACAGATGAGTCAGTGAGTTTTATTTACAGTAATTTAACATGCATTTTCCTGTAAACATCATGTCAATTCCAGATCCATTTGCACCAACTTCAAGTCAGTTAACAAATTAAATATATTTTCTTTATACAATAAAGTGAACTATTTGTTAAGAATTCACAAATGTTATGAGGCAATCACTGCGGTTAATGATGAGAACAGCTAAAACTAACTGTAAATCAGAGTATTTTCAGAGGACTGCAAACAAAAACATCTAGGAAAAGAATAATTGGCTCAGACATCAGCTAGACTACACTGCGATGGGATCTATCAGGCCTTCTCTACGCTCTGCTGGAGGCATGAGAGTCCTGACACTCCGTGCCCAAGGAAAATCCATCTACACCAGGTGACCAACAAGGCAGTCCTCCAGAGACGTAGAAGGGCCAGAAGGAAATATTGACCTATCAAGAGTCAGCAGGCCAATTAGGACGTTTGGCCAGCTTTTCCTTGAGGGCAGAGCTGAGTGAGACTGGGACACAGGACCTAAGTGCTAACCGAGAGCCCAGGCCAGGACCTGACTCTAAGTCCAGCAAGTAAGCACTTGCATTCTGAAGGATTTTTTCTTCTTTGTTTAAAGTGGCAGACAGCCGAATCCTGAGCTGCTATTTTTCTTTGGAAACTGATGCCCAGCTTACTGCACAGGTTACCCTACCTCAAGCAGGTGGCCAAACTTTGCAGACCAAGATGGGGAGTGGATGTAATACAATGTGTGGCGCTGAAGGAGGCGCTACAGAGCCACCTTGCCTGCCACATGCACACATCACCATAGATTCTGAAACCAAGTATACAACAACAGCATGTATATAGTATTATGGCCTTGATTCTCTGTTAGACCATCCCTGTGTTTGGAGCAGGAATCAGGTGAGGGTGCAAATGTAGCTTTAAATTCTATTCTGGGGCCTATGACGCCACTGGTGTAAGTTAGAGTAGCCTCAGGACGCCCCTATATTATGCTCTGCATCTCATGGTTCCCTATGGGTCATGGAAACTAGAGCATAGCTGTAGTGCAGTGCATTCTAGCCACACCCCTTCCCTTTTCCCAGTCTGCATCCTCATCTTTCTCTCTAACCATAACAAACTCTGTATGCCTGAAGCAGGGAGGAGGGATGGAGTCGAGCCTTCAGACCAGCTTTACATAGGTCATGAAGGTCTCCTGCTCTGGGAGTTATTTTTGCCCTCTTAAAAGCCCCGTTATGCTGTTCAGAATGGTGTAATTGCCTGCTAATGTATCATTTTTACGATAAAACATGTTAAATTATGGTTTTATTTTAAAACATGTTTATTTACTGGTTTGTAGGCCTCCTAACCATTCAACTGGCCAATGGAACATTATAGTATTAAGGACAGTGCTCCTACTGTTCCTTTAATTGGAGGTGAAAGATGGCCTAGTGCTTAGGCTTCTAACATGGGACTTGGGAGATTCAGATCCCTACTCTGCTACAGACTTCCTGTGTGACCTTTGATAACACAGGGCTCTTCAATCTATCAGAGAAAGGTATAACAAGGTTAAATGGCTGGAAGTTGAAGCTAGACAAATTCAAACTAGAAATGGGGTAAAATATTGAAGGGGGGGTAATTAACCATTGAATAAACTTACCAAGAGTGGTGATGTATTCTCCATCACTGGAAATTTTAAAATCAGAATTGGATGTTTTTTCTAAAAGATATGTTCTATTTCAGTGACAGCTATTGGACTTGAAGCCGGAATTAATCTAGGGAAGTCCTATGCAGAAGCTCAGACTAAATGATCACAATGGTTCTTCTGGCCTTAAAATCTATTAATCTATAGGGAACATGATAGAAGTTCACCATATCTCACCCTAAGAGGCTAGCTGTCAGAGTTATGTCCACACTGCAGCTGGGAGCATTATTACTCACTCAGGTCATGGTGTCCAGGATTGGTTGAAAACTCAATCACAAAAAGGTCTTTCCCTTCAAAGCTACGGCCAATGCTGTAAGTTCTTGCAATGTGGGAGCACCTAGAAGCAGTCTTCTTCAAAATGCTCACCATTTTGTAATACGAATGATGGGTGAACTGAATTAAAGTTGTAGGCACATCCACAAGTAAATCTTCCTCAGCTAATTCTGGCTCCCCTGCAGAGAAAAATTATAACTGCAACTAAGTGAGGTCAAAAAGTTTGTGCCGGAGTGGGGTTATCAAGATACAGTGAACAAACACCTGCCCCTCTGTTCATAAAGCATACATTTCCAATAATAAAAGTATGGAAATTAGAAATGACCTGAATCAAGACATTAGATCTGAACAAGAACCTCCTCCATTTGCTCTTCCGTGTGAGGTAGAATCATAGCATCATAGAATCATAGAATATCAGGGTTGGAAGGGACCTCAGGAGGTCATCTAGTCCAACCCCCTGCTCAAAGCAGGACCAATCCCCAACTATGTTAGTCCAAGTCTCCAAAACCAGCTACTGCACTTGCACGGTGACAGATGTTTTAAGATGTGCAGCCATATTTGCTGTGAGCTTCACCAGCTAAAAACCAGCCTGTAGTACACAGGTAAACTTCAGCCTTCAGCATAGAGACTGGTCCTTTAAATCTATTGGATCAAAGTCATCCTTGGTGTAACTCAACTGACTTCAGTCACCTGCACTATATACCGCTAAACAAAAAAATAACATTCACAAAGGCAATTTACCTTCCATGAGCTAGTTAGTATTGTGCATTTCCTGTTGTTCTAAAATTTCAGGTAAGATTTTAAGATATAATACAAAATTTGTCGATATATTGTAGCGATCATGGATAGTTTCTTATGATGTGCCTGTATAGCTTCAGTTCTTACCTCGTAGCTTTGCCAGTGGATCAAAACAACCTTCTTCTTCACCAGCAAAGAAGCGATCACAGTCTAAGAAGTAGGGCCAAGCCATGTCTATTGTGTCAAATGCAGGAAGGCAATTTTTTCTCAGGTTTTCACAGACGTGTCTGCAGGGCTTTATCATTTTGTCTTTTTCACACTGTGGGGCCAGTATTGAGCAGCTCAAGAGTCTCAGATCAGGATTACATTCTCCCTGAAGCAAGTTGTGTAGCACACTCATGAGAATATATTCAGAGCTGAATTCAACCACTTCTCTGGACTTCTGATCCAGCAAATTAGGATACATTGTTTTGGTGTAGGGAACGTCACCACAAGAGCCTAAGGTGATGTCCACGCATTTTGCTACAAGAAATGATAAGATGAACATGTGAAAAATACCTTGCTAATTAATCACACTGAATCCAATACAGCTGCTCAAATAATATGTATTGAATAACAGGCTCAGTTAAGTTAATCTATTTGCTGTTCACAGATTGTATGGCAATTGATCACAATATTCTCAGATATATTTATTGTTTGAAACTATTTGCGAAATGATTCTTAGTCAGTGGCTTGTTTGTGAGTAGTTCATTGCAAGGAGCCAGTATTCAAAATTTCAATTAGATTTTCAATTTTTGTTGGTCACGTGGTCATATTTCTGTTCTCTGATTGGCTGAGTCTAACTTTTAAAATCAGATTTCTGGTGTATTTACAAATTCAAAATTTGAAATAGTTAAATGGACAGATTCTGGCCACCACAGTGGGTGCTTTGAGAGTTTGGATGCCTGCGGACTCCCCTGTCATGTGGAATCCCCCTGGGGCCAGAATAGGTAGCATGGCCACAGAAAACAGTTGAGATGGACAACTGGTGTAAGTTAGAGTAACCCCAAGACTGCTCTATATCACACCAGGGACAAGAGCTTGAGCATATCAACCCCAGCATGGTGGAGCTGAAAAGGTGGCTGACATCTGCCTTCTACCATACATTTGTACTGTGGGATATGGGATAAAGCAGATTCATTTTAAAAATTCTAGCAAGTAGAAATGTTTTTGCAACATTTAACCAATTAAAAAAACAAAAGGATAAACTGGTATTTATCACGTATGGTAGAGTTATTGGATACTACGACACTGGGCAACTTGGATGTCCAAGTCTGAGTCTTACACTCTGTGCTGAGGTCCCAGGCCGGTACGAGATGATATCACAGTAGTGGAAGCAAACTCTTGCCCTGGGAGAGAGAGAGAACATCTCCCATTGCTCTCTAGTACCTGACTAGGGCCAATGCATGGAGCAGTATTGCCGTGGTCCAGGATCAGCTGCATCCAGCTGAAGGAAAGAATAACAAGGAAATAACTAGGAAATACTCAGGGTGCTGAGAGCCCTGGGAGGGGCAGGTGGGGAGAGAAAGAGAAGCTATGCCATACCTTTTCCTCCTGTTTGGCATTGTCCTGCAAATAAAGAGAAAATAAATAGGGATTAGCATCATGAACAGGAGAGAAGGGCTGCTGCAATACCTGTCTAGTACTGTAGTTCTTGCTGCATCTCAAATGTTTGAACTCAGAGTTAAACATGTCTAGTTAAGAGACTTTTTACAGACGCAAAGGTATGTGGTAATCAGTTAATGGCCTTGAATACCAAAGGGAAACACAATGCAATATTACTGTGGCTTGTGCGGAAGGAAAGGAAAAGTTCAGTGTGATGTCAAAACCTCCGCTCACCTGTGTCCCGCTGACATTCCAGACAGGAAGAATATGACCATTATTGTCAGCAATATCAATCTAATCCAGTGGTTCTCAAACTGGGTCGGGACCCCAAAGTGGGTCATGACCCCATTAATGGGGGTTGCCAGGGCTGGCTTAGACTTGCTGTGGCTCGGGGCCCAAGCCAAAGCCTGAGGGATTCAGCCCTGGGAGGCAGGGCTCAGGTTATAGGCCCCCTGGCTGGGGCTGAAGCCCTTGGGCTTCAGCTTTGACCCCTTCCCCACCTGGGGCAGTGGGGCTCAGGCTTTGGCTTTGCCCTCCCCCCCCGAGTGGTTGGACTCAGGTGGGCTCATGTTTCAGTCCCCCCTCCTGCGGTCATATAATAATTTTTGTTGTCAGAAGGGGGTTGTGGTGCAATCAAATTTGAAAACCCCTGATCTAATCTAATGTAATCTAAAGCATTTATATCATGCTCAACACTGTAGTAACTGAGCTCCTAACAAATCTATCAACACCACAATATATAGGCCCGCACATGATCTATGTCCCTTTCTCTCTAAAGCAATTAGACATTTTTTATTTTAAATCTTCCACCACCTCTTCTACCTTTTTAACTTTTCTAACTTTGGCAACTAAGGCAAAATGATGCTACTAAAATAAGACTCAAACTGTTGGGTTTTTTTCAGTGCCCCATTGGAAGTAACAATTATGTGCAAGCCTCATAAACATCAAAGAATATGTTTTCACTGGTGTATATTGGGGATCTAGCCATGTAGCTGTAGTCAGTGGGAGACTGGCAGCTAGCTCGTCATGTTTGTTCTTATAAAACCAAATGCATTATGTCCACTAAGAAAAGCGTGAATTACTACTCTCACCATATTTAACAGTTATTATCTGAATTCACTCTGTTAATCACTCTCTGGAAACCAACTAATTTTTCACTCTCTGGAAACCAAAGCAAAATCATTAACATGAAAACAAAATTAGTCCTGGAATTTGATCTTGACAATGGGTAATTTAATGGGAAATGAGTCTGGTTATGTATCCTGAATTATCATCAACTAACATTACTCTGTAAAGCATTTCTGCGGCTCTGCGCTATTATAAATATTTAATTTTTGACACCAGCAATTAGTGGTGACCAATAATCTTGTGGTAACTTTTTGAATATATACTATTCATATAGGCTTTTTGTCCTGGCTTGGTAGATAATGGTAATAACAATAAACAATAATTAGTGCATCTATATCAGAGGTGGGCAAATTACAGCCCGCGGGCCACATCTGGCCCGCGGGACCCTCCTGCCCGGCCCCTGAGCTCCTGGCCTGGGAGGCTAGCCCCCGGCCCCTCCCCGGCTGTTCCCCTTCCCCTGCAGCCTCAGCTCACTCTGCCGCTGGTGCAATGCTCTGGGAGGCGGAGCGGCGAGCTCCTGGGGCAGTGCAGCTGCACAGCCCGGCCTGACCCGGTGCTCTGTGCTGCGCGGTGGCGTGGCTGGCTCCAGCCGGGGGCGGGGCTGTAGCAACACCAGCCACCGGTGCTCCAGGCAGCGCGGTAAGGGGGCAGGGAGCGGAGGGGTTGGATAGAGGGCAGGAGTGTTGTGGGGGTGGTCAGGGGGCGGGGGTGTGGATAAGGGTCGGGGCAGTTAGAGGGTGGGGATCAGGGGGGTTGAATGGGGGCAGGGGTCCCGGGAGGGCAGTGAGGAAGGAGAGCGGGGGTTAGATGGGGCGGCGGGGGGTAGTCAGGGGACAGGGAGAAGTGGGATTTGGATGGGGCAGAGGTCCTGGGGGGGGCAGTCAGGAATGAGAGGAGGGGTTGGATGGGGTGGTGGGGGACAGTCAGGGATGAGGGTTCCGGGGGCGGTCAGGGGACAGTGAGCGAGGGGGGGAGGGTGGATGGGGCAGGGGTCCCGGGGGGGGGCAACAGGGAACAGGGGAGGTTGGATGGAGGAGGAGTCCCGGGGCGGGGGCCGTCAGAGGGCTAGAAGCAGGGGGGGATAGGGGGCGGGTGCTGGGCCATGCCTGGCTGTTTGGGGTGGCACAGCCTCCCCTAACCGGCCCTCCATATAATTTCCAAAACCCGATGCAGCCCTCAGGCCAAAAAGTTTATCCGCCCCTGATCTATATAGTGTCTTCTATCAGAGGATTTAAGTGTGCTTTCATTAACTCAGCCTCACAATCTCCCTGTGAGGTTGTTATTATTAACTATAGTTACAGTTAAAGAAGCTAAGGGACAGAGAGACCAATTTCCTAATTTTTGTATTGAGACCCTCAAACCTGCCTCTTGCATCCACAATGTTATGACTGGAGGTAACTGTGGGTGCATTTTGTAGCATATAGGATGCAAAGGAAAATCAGGTGTTCAGATATTTCATACTGGGAAATGCACCAGGAATTATTTCTGCCTATATAATCAGAGGACATTTTTCAAAATCAAGCCTCAAGAGCCTCTTCTCTGCACTCACAGAATGGACCCATTTCCCACAGTGATTATTAGCAATAGTTCCTTTGTTTCATGGGTTACCTGTTAGGATGGATGAGACAAAAATCATTTCCAGAAAACGATTGTTCCCTGTCCACGCTAGCAGGTCAACCAGGTTCAGCATCAGTGCAGGGGGAACTGCCACTGACAACCATTGGTGAGTGTAAGTAGGGCTTGTGTGACTTGCCCAAGTTCATGTTCTTCATTGGTCTTGGTCCATAATCACAAATCCCCTGTAATAGGGTATATATGGCCCTTCGTGACCCTCTGCTGGAGGCCGGGGCTGGCCTGAGACCAAATGGCACCCCAGGCGAGGAGCATCTTCAGCACTCTCCTCCCCCTATTTGTTAAATTTTTGAATGCCTTATTTTTATTGCACCTGTAGCCCATTTCATGACTTGGATGCATGATTTGCATGCAGATTTATCCGTGGCATATAAGAAGATAAATTTGCACACTACAATCTGTAAATCTGTATTTATTCAAGTCATAGATAAGCAAATAAAAATTTGTTTCTTCTAAGCTTACAGAAACTTTTAAATTTTAAGAATAACTGAAATGTACTTGAAACTGTGATGAAATGTACAAGAAATTGAACTGTGCACCAACATTGGGAGGACCAGTATTAAATAGCGTTACAGTAAGTGTTACAGTAGATGATAGCCTTAAAATATTAACCCTACTCCTTTAGTTCAAAAGGAAAGCAGACTTCGACTCCCTCAGGGAACGGATGGCCAGGATCCCCTGGGGGACTAACTTGAAGGGGAAAGGAGTCCAGGAGAGCTGGCTGTATTTCAAGGAATCCCTGTTGAGGTTACAGGGACAAACCATCCCGATGAGTCGAAAGAATAGTAAATATGGCAGGCGACCAGCTTGGCTTAATGGTGAAATCTTAGCGGATCTTAAACATAAAAAAGAAGCTTACAAGAAGTGGAAGGTTGGACATATGACCAGGGAAGAGTATAAAAATATTGCTCGGGCATGTAGGAATGTTATCAGGAGGGCCAAATCGCACCTGGAGCTGCAGCTAGCCAGAGATGTCAAGAGTAACAAGAAGGGTTTCTTCAGATATGTTGGCAACAAGAAGAAAGCCAAGGAATGTGTGGGCCCCTTACTGAATGAGGGAGGCAAACTAGTGACAGAGGATGTGGAAAAAACTAATGTACTCAATGCTTTTTTTGCCTCTGTTTTCACTAACAAGGTCAGCTCCCAGACTGCTACGCTGGGCATCACAAAATGGGGAAGAGATGGACAGCCCTCTGTGGAGATAGAGGTGGTTAGGGACTATTTAGAAAAGCTGGACGTGCACAAGTCCATGGGGCCGGACGAGTTGCATCCGAGAGTGCTGAAGGAACTGGCGGCTGTGATTGCAGAGCCATTGGCCATTATCTTTGAAAACTCGTGGCGAACCGGGGAAGTCCCGGATGACTGGAAAAAGGCTAATGTAGTGCCAATCTTTAAAAAAGGGAAGAAGGAGGATCCTGGGAACTACAGGCCAGTCAGCCTCACTTCAGTCCCTGGAAAAATCATGGAGCAGGTCCTCAAAGAATCAATCCTGAAGCACTTGCATGAGAGGAAAGTGATCAGGAACAGCCAGCATGGATTCACCAAGGGAAGGTCATGCCTGACTAATCTAATCGCCTTCTATGATGAGATTACTGGTTCTGTGGATGAAGGGAAAGCAGTGGATGTATTGTTTCTTGACTTTAGCAAAGCTTTTGACACGGTCTCCCACAGTATTCTTGTCAGCAAGTTAAGGAAGTATGGGCTGGATGAATGCACTACAAGGTGGGTAGAAAGCTGGCTAGATTGTCGGGCTCAACGGGTAGTTATCAATGGCTCCATGTCTAGTTGGCAGCCGGTATCAAGTGGAGTGCCCCAAGGGTCGGTCCTGGGGCCGGTTTTGTTCAATATCTTCATAAATGATCTGGAGGATGGTGTGGATTGCACTCTCAGCAAATTTGCGGATGATACTAAACTGGGAGGAGTGGTAGATACGCTGGAGGGGAGGGATAGGATACAGAAGGACCTAGACAAATTGGAGGATTGGGCCAAAAGAAATCTGATGAGGTTCAATAAGGATAAGTGCAGGGTCCTGCACTTAGGACGGAAGAACCCAATGCACAGCTACAGACTAGGGACCGAATGGCTAGGCAGCAGTTCTGCGGAAAAGGACCTAGGGGTGACAGTGGACGAGAAGCTGGATATGAGTCAGCAGTGTGCCCTTGTTGCCAAGAAGGCCAATGGCATTTTGGGATGTATAAGTAGGG